TTCTATACCAACCATGCACAGTAAGGCTTAATTCTTCCAGTTTTCTGCTGTATGAATTAGTTATTATCGGGCCGTCGGACTACCAGGCTGTCGGACTATCGGACCGTCGGATTACCGGGCTGTCGGAATACTGGGCGGCCACCAGAGCGGTTGAAAGATATGTTTCAAATATTTATGTATAAAATGTGTAAATGCGGCATTATCCTGTTATTAGCATCGCGATGCTAATAATTTTTGACGTTATTTTACGTAACGTCAGAAGCGTTAAATGACTTAATATTTCAACATTTAATGATTTTAAATTGTTTGAAGTAAAATTTAGAGGAAAAAAATAATTTAAATACCTGAAAACTAATTCGCACCGCGATGCTAATAACAGGAGTATATATAGAGAGACGACGTTTCCAAATATCAAGATTTTAAGCTCCACAGAGGGAAGTAATCCCGGGAAAAGGGTTTCTTTGGGGGATACCATCAGAAAAAATGGGGCTTGGCTTTTTTGGGGGGATCACTCTTAAAATGACACGTTTTAATGGACAAAATACCTTCAAACTAATTAGCATCGCGATGCCAATAACAGGAGTATATATAGAGAGACGAGGGACATTTACATACCTGAAAACTAATTCGCACCGCGATGCTAATAACAGGAGTATATATAGAGAGACGACGTTTCCAAATATCAAGATTATAAGCTCCACAGAGGGAAGTATTCCCGGGAAAAGGGTTTCTTTGGGGGATACCATCAGAAAAAATGGGGCTTGGCTTTTTGGGGGAGATCACTCTTAAAATGACACGTTTTAATGAACAAAATACCTCCAAACTAATTAGCATCGCGATGCCAATAACAGGAGTATATATAGAGAGACGATGGACATTTAAATACCTGAAAACTAATTCGCACCGCGATGCTAATAACAGGAGGATATATAGAGAGACTACGTTTCCAAATATCAAGATTATAAGCTCCACAGAGGGAAGTATTCCCGGGAAAAGGGTTTCTTTGGGGGATACCATCAGAAAAAATGGGGCTTGGCTTTTTTGGGGGGATCACTCTTAAAATGACACGTTTTAATGGACAAAATACCTTCAAACTAATTAGCATCGCGATGCCAATAACAGGAGTATATATAGAGAGACGAGGGACATTTAAATACCTGAAAACTAATTCGCACCGCGATGCTAATAACAGGAGTATATATAGAGAGACGACGTTTCCAAATATCAAGATTATAAGCTCCATGGATATTCCCGGGAAAAGGGTTTCTTTGGGGGATACCATCAGAAAAAATGGGGCTTGGCTTTTTTGGGGGGATCACTCTTAAAATGGCACGTTTTAATGGACAGAATACCTCCAAACTAATTAGCATCGCGATGCCAATAACAGGAGTATATATAGAGAGACGAGGGACATTTAAATACCCGGAAACTAATTCGCACCGCGATGCTAATAACAGGAGTATATATAGAGAGACGACGTTTCCAAATATCAAGATTATAAGCTCCACGGAGGGAAGTATTCCCGGGAAAAGGGTTTCTTTGGGGGATACCATCAGAAAATAATGGGGCTTGGCTTTTTTGGTGGAATCACTGTTAAAATGACGCGTTTTAATGGACAAAATACCTCCAAACTAATTAGCATCGCGATGCCAATAACAGGAGTATATATAGAGAGACGAGGGACATTTAAATACCCGGAAACTAATTCGCACCGCGATGCTAATAACAGGAGTATATATAGAGAGACGACGTTTCCAAATATCAAGATTATAAGCTCCAGAAAGGGAAGTATTCCCGGGAAAAGGGTTTCTTTGGGGGATACTATCAGAAAAAATGGGGCTTGGCTTTTTTGGGGGGATCACTCTTAAAATGACACGTTTTAATGGACAAAATACCTCCAAACTAATTAGCATCGCGATGCCAATAACAGGAGTATATATAGAGAGACGAGGGACATTTAAATACCCGAAAACTAATTCGCACCGCGATGCTAATTACAGGAGTATATATAGAGAGACGATGTTTCCAAATATCAAGATTATAAGCTCCACAAAGGGAAGTATTCCCGGGAAAAGGGTTTCTTTGGGGGATACCATCAGAAAAAATGGGGCTTGGCTTTTTTGGGGGGATCACTCTTAAAATGACACGTTTTAATGGACAAAATACCTCCAAACTAATTAGCATCGCGATGCCAATAACAGGAGTATATATAGAGAGACGAGGGACATTTAAATACCCGGAAACTAATTCGCACCGCGATGCTAATAACAGGAGTATATATAGAGAGACGACGTTTCCAAATATCAAGATTATAAGCTCCACGGAGGGAAGTATTCCCGGGAAAAGGGTTTCTTTGGGGGATACCATCAGAAAAAATGGGGCTTGGCTTTTTTGGGGGGATCACTCTTAAATTGACACGTTTTAATGGACAAAATACCTCCAAACTAATTAGCATCGCGATGCCAATAACAGGAGTATATATAGAGAGACGAGGGACATTTAAATACCCGGAAACTAATTCGCACCGCGATGCTAATAACAGGAGTATATATAGAGAGACGGCGTTTCCAAATATCAAGATTATAAGCTCCAGAAAGGGAAGTATTCCCGGGAAAAGGGTTTCTTTGGGGGATACTATCAGAAAAAATGGGGCTTGGCTTTTTTGGGGGGATCACTCTTAAAATGACACGTTTTAATGGACAAAATACCTCCAAACTAATTAGCATCGCGATGCCAATAACAGGAGTATATATAGAGAGACGAGGGACATTTAAATACCCGAAAACTAATTCGCACCGCGATGCTAATTACAGGAGTATATATAGAGAGACGATGTTTCCAAATATCAAGATTATAAGCTCCACAAAGGGAAGTATTCCCGGGAAAAGGGTTTCTTTGGGGGATACCATCAGAAAAAAATGGGGCTTGGCTTTTTTGGGGGGATCACTCTTAAAATGACACGTTTTAATGAACAAAATACCTCCAAACTAATTAGCATCGCGATGCCAATAACAGGAGTATATATAGAGAGACGGGTGACATTTTAAATACCGCAAAACTAATTCGCATCGCGATGCTAATAACAGGAGTATATATAGAGAGACGGCGTTTCCAAATATCAAGATTATAAGCTCCACAAAGGGAAGTATTCCCGGGAAAAGGGTTTCTTTGGAGGATACTATCAGAAAAAAATGGGGCTTGGCTTTTTTGGGGGGATCATTCTTAAAATGACTCGTTTTAATGGATAAAATACCTCCAAACTAATTAGCATCGCGATGCCAATAACAGGAGTATATATAGAGAGACGAAGAACATTTTAATACCCGAAAACTAATTCGCATCGCGATGCTAATAACAGGAGTATATATAGAGAGACGGCGTTTCCAAATATCAAGATTATAAGCCTCACAAAGAGAGAAGATTACAACATATTTTTTTGGTTTCACAATGCATTCAGTGTTCTTAAAAGTGTAGTAGACGATCGTGATGAGCGATTCTTCAATGTTCTACCTCTACTGAAGCGTGCGGGATTTTTTTACACTCAGACTGTCACGCTTACAACATATTTTTTTGGTTTCACAATGCATTCAGTTTTCTTAAAAGTGTAGTAGACGATCGTGATGAGCGATTCTTCAATGTTCTACCTCTACTGAACGGTGCGGGATTTCTTTACACTCAGACTGTCACGCAACGTACAAACAAAGGACTTTTACTTCCTAACCTGTTCTGGAATACATTGTACTTTGAAATCCGTGCACAGATAAAATATTCGATATGGAAATTTTAAATATGTTACTTTATGAATGAAATTGCATGATCAGAAAAAGAATAAATGAGAGTACTAAAATGTATTGTGCATTACATGTAATCGCAATAGATAGCATTTATTCCGTATATGAAGACATTAAACGGAATAAAGTGCATACCGTCCGGGGTATATTGAATTTTGAAAGTTTTGTTTTTGAAGACCTTGGAATTTATTCCGTTATCAATTATCTCAACTTATTTCTACATAACGGAATAAAGTACTTATAATGAATTTTGATAGTTTTGTTTATGAAGACATTTATTCCGTTAAATGTTTATCTCAACTTATTTATAACGGAATAAAGTGCATATATTGATATTTGATAGCTTGTTTATGAAGACATTTATTCCGTAATATATTTATGTCAACTTATTTTTAACGGAATAAAGTGCATATATTGAATTTTGCAGTATAGTTTTGTTTATGAAGACATTTATTCCGTTAATACATTTATCTCAACTTTTTTATATAACGGAATAAAGATTATATATTAAATTTTGATAGTTTTGTTTATGAAGACATTTATTCCGTTATATATTTATCTCAACTCATTTATAACAAAATAAAGTACATATATATTGAATTTTTTAGTTATATAATTTATAGTTTTGTTTATGAAGACATTTATTCCGAATTATCAAAAATGCATTATTTTTTATACCGTACTACTTGAGAATAAGGTTATTTCTAAAATATCACGGAAGTAACCAATTTCCCATGCAGAATTGTCTTTCGTTCCTCTGTCAGACATGACTTATGTATAAGCCGATGACAGAGAGTGGGAATTAACGGAATAAGCATAAAATCCATAAATATTGTTGTTTAAAGACTAAATTTTTAATTCTAAGCTCGCAAAATTATAATTTTATTTACGTCAACAACGTCAACAACGTCAAAAATTATTCGCATCGCGATGCTAATAACAGGATAATGCCGTAAATGCTGTCGCAGTGCTTTAAAATAATGTGACTTCTTGAATTCAACACCTTGTGCAACTGAGGAGTTACACGCCTTTATCAGATTGTAAATTTTTATATCCCCGTTTTGTCCTGTAGATAATGCGACATGAAAACCTGTAATCAGAATTAATATGCATCCGTTGGAATGTGCAGCATTGTATGTGCAACATTCTACTACGCTGTGTCAATATGTAAATTTTTCTTCCAAACCTCCAGTCACGTGATGTGTCTTACTCTATAGATTTTACCTGTGCGAGTGTTGACACCACCTTTCGTTCTAAATTGACATGGATTTTAACGTTTTACCAACAATGTAAAACAGTTGTAGAAATCTCTCTTTTTATTGTGGTAAAAGATGGAATTATGTGAAGATGTTCAAAGCAGGAAGACTCAGTTAACGAACTGGCATGGGATTATGTCGGAACTTTTTGGAATGGGTCAGTATTCTGTATTTATTAGAGTTTTATTCGAGGTTCACTACTAACAAATATCGATCTTGCTACAATGGAAAGCTACTAGGCGTTGATATGCCCCAAGGTCTTTTGTTTTCCTAAACAGATAATAGTTCCAAATCATGCTATCTCCTATTACCTTTTCATAAAAATTTCCTTATATAATATTTGAATACATATATTATTGTGTAGTTAATTTTCCCCCAGTGGAGTACAGGGTATTTAGCGTCGGTGTTTTAAAATTCTTTTCTGAATATGAATGACATTGTGTATTGAATATGTTTTTTAATTTTCTTGACCTTTAAACAGTCAGGGGCATGTTGAAAACAAGGTATATTTTTAGATACCTTGCTTGGGTTGTTTCACTCATTTAATAAATAAACAAAGAACCCATCTGAGTTCATTATTCAAAACTGTTTTAAATGTAAACACTGGTAAATGCATAGGTTGTGGGTGGTTCTGAACCCATTTGGACATTCAATTTCATTAAATTTATACACAGTACAGTAACCCAAGAATGCTTTGAATGAATTTTGAATAGCTCAATAAAGTTGTATATCCCGTAGCCACTTTCAAGCTATATTTGCTAAATCAAGAGGTTAAATTGGGTTGGACCTGATGAACACATTGTATTGGAATTAGATCTATTTAGGCAGGGCTGAGGAGTGTACACATAATAAGAAATTTTCTGTGCTGAAATAAAATTTCTGCATAGATATATTTTCCTTGCATTTACCCTGTGTCAAAACTGTAGTTAATTCCCAGCTTGAAAAGGGGGGGGGGGGGGGTATAGTGATGGGTATTTCAGTCCATATGTTATACTTTGGGGTACCCATCTCTTATCCGCTACTCCTCTTAATATTGCATATTCAGTACATGTATATCTTATTTTTTTTCAATGACAATAAAATTTTATGCAATGATCTCATTTTATGTAAATTTAAGATCAAGTTTATTCTTCCATTTGGATCCTTGATCCTCCTTTTATGTTTCATGTTTGTAAATCTTTTTTTGCTCCTCCAGGGGCAAAAATTGTTCTAATAAAATCTTGTATCTTATACCACTGAATGAAATTTAATGAGACTTTAACAACACAGAATCTTTGTAACATATAGGCCTAAAGTCATTCTGCACCTCCTATTTTACTTTTTGATCCAACACATATATTGGGTTCCGCATAGCAAAACATGGACACTGCCATTCTTTCTATAATATTGAGGGGCCCCCATCTCTTATCTGCGTCTCCTCCCCTATACCAAGTACTGAATAAAATCTAGTCATGATATTTTCAATGATTCTTTATTACATTATGCCATTGTGACTTTGTATTTTATATTTTGATTTGACAATTATTTCTTGTTCCCCAGAGCAAAACATGGAATTTTAATTGCCATTATAATTTTATAGGAGGCAAGGTATACGTATCACTTTAAGTCAGCTCAGTGTTCACAATACCTTTATCATTATTTTGGTCATTCTTATGTAAAATGCTGACAAAACATGATCGTTTCACAGTTTAAGTAAACCCAGGTTTATTTTCAGAGTGAGACACAGGTGAGGATAATTTGAGCTCAGCTCAGATTTTATACCTTGAGTTTATTCAACTTTGGCTTACTAAAGGATAAATAGGAAAACTAGGAGACTATAATTTCAATTCTATTTGATATTTATCTCTTTAAAAGTAAATTTCATGAAAAAAAAAAACAGAAATGCCTTAAAAGATGAAAAATTGAAATTTTAACATTTTTGAAAGGACCTTGACCTTTGACCTTGAACAAATTTTTAAGGTCAAAGGTCAAGGGTCTCATAGCAATTAACCCCATTCCTCCTCCACTAATAGTTTAAACATTATACGGTTTAATAGTAAGCTCAAAGACGTTAAAGGGTGATTAAACTCATATAAGGGGGTCATCAGATCCTTTCGCACGAAATAAATTGAAGTTGTATCTAAATACCCTGAAGACATTAGCAAAGGTTTCATGTCTCTGGGGTTTATGGTAGCGATAACAAGGTTTTTTGCACAGGGGCAATAACTTCTAGAAGGGTCAATCTTTACAGACAATAATGAAATCTTTGAAATAGTTTAAGAGTACTTATTAATGATGCAAAGATATATAGTATATGTTGAAAAACAAGAGATATAAAAAAGACCTGAATTTCTCATCTTTGGAATAACTTTGAACTTCGACCAGGGCCTTTGCAAAAATTTGAAGGTTGAAGGTAAATGAATCTAATGAGTTGGTCCCATATCTCTACGACTTCTCATTTTGAGAATTTTTAATTATTTGTAAAATTCAAAAATTTTCAGGAGTAATAACTTATTGAGGGGGTTTACGAATCCTTTTGCAATGAATAGATTGAAGAGTCTCCTTAATTAGTCAAAGACATTGGTGAAGGATTGAAACCTCTGAGGTTTATGGTTTCAGAGGAGTAGGGATAGTAAGCATTTCTTGCGACAGGGGCAATAACTTCATAGGGGGGTCAAAGATAAAAAAATGGGGGGTCGTTTTTCGGAATAACTTTTAATATCCAGTATCATGATGTAAGTTTTTCTATAAGTCTTGTGGTTTCAAAACACCAGAAACTCCAGAAATAAAATAATAATAAACATAAGCATTTCAAGAGGTCTTTCCACAGAAAGATGGAAAGAACTAATAAATAGCAAATATTTTTGCTGGTTTGAGCCAAAAACTTGTTAATCATCACAGCCTGAACTTCTGTCAACTTTCTAATCTTTACCCATATTTTTTTCAAATCCGATATTACCGGTACAAAATCTGAATGATAATTAAACTAAGAACTTAATCAGCTTATTCATATGTTAGTTAACCTTTCATGTCCTTATTAACCAAGAAGTTTAGATTATTCATGTGTTAGTTAATCTTTGATGTCCTTATTAACTTAAAGAAGTTTAGATTATTCATATGTTAGTTAACCTTCAATGTCCTTATTAACTAAGAAGTTTAGATTATTCATATGTTAGTTAACCTTTGATGTCCTTATTAACTAAGAACTTTAGATTATTCATATGTTAGTTAACCTTTGATGTCCTTATTCAGCTGGTATTAAAAATTTGAGATAGGGATTTTCCTTTATTTATATATTATTGTTGATATATTCTTTATTGCATGCCATTCCATTATTTGAACTTAAATACCTAAGCATTAAAACCATGCATAATATTTTCAAAATGACATTTAAAAACACATAGAATTTTATATATTTGTGTAATATAGCCACTAACCAAAAGGTAAGGGGTCATACAAAATGTTAACCCTTACCAAAGTAAAATTATTGCAGCAATATTGCCGCTATATTGCGGCAACATTGCAGCAACACATTTTTGTCACCAGAAACAAGCTTTTTGGGTTAGTGAAATATCACCGCTAGCGGCAACAACTTCTGGTGACATTCTGGCAATACTGCCAGAAAAAAAACTTTCTGGCAGTATTGCCAGAATGTCGCCAGAAGATCTAAGATTACCCAATAGGCATTTGTGAGCATGCTCAGTCATTTACTTCCTCTTTTTAAATAAAATGGAGGGAATTCAAAAGGAAGCATGTTTTGCTTCATTATTGAATGGTATCAAGTTAATTGGAGTTGTTAATTGTGTATAATAGGATTAGACATGATGACTAGTAAGACTGAATAATGTGGAATAGCCAGAAAAAAGAATTTCAGCAGTTTCCATAGCATGGCCTTTTGAAAGAATTATAGGAATGTCTAACTCTGTTTTCATGGTATATATCAAACTTGGTAAGTTAAAACCGTCTCCTTTTTTAGATGAATGATTCTATGGAGATAAAATAAGAAAAATTATAATTATACTGATTAATTGGCATTGGGGAAGATGTGATGGGCAGCTAATTAAGGTGATTATTTGAAAAATGTCCTGTGTGGGGATTTTCTCTTTTGAAATTTCAATAAAATTGATGAATTCATGAAAGCAAATGTAAATCAAACGAACTATATTAAACCAACCATTTTTAGCTCACCTGAGCTGAAAGCTTAAGTGAGCTTTTCTGATCAAGCTTTGTCCGTTGTCCGTCCATCTGTAAAATTTTCACATTTTCAACTTCTTCTCAAGAACCACTGGGCCAATTTTTACCAAACTTGATACAAAGCATCATTTGGTAAATGGGAGTTTAAATTGTGAAAAAGAAGGGCCAAGTCTCCTTTCAAGGGGAGATAATCAGGAAAACACAAAAATGGGGTGGGATCATTAAAAAAATCTTCTTCTCAATTAGAACCATTGGGCCAGAAAAGATGAAACTTATGTGGAAGATCCTGGGGTAGTATAGATTTAAAATTGTTCACATCATGACCCCTGGGGGTAGGGCGGAGCCACAATAGAGAATCCAAGTTTTACATAGAAATAAATAAGAAAAATCTTTAAAAGTTTCTCAAAAACAACTGAGCCAGAAAAGCTGAAAAATTAGGTGGAAGCATTCTGGGGTAGTGTAGATTGTAAATTGTTCAAAACATGACCCTGGGGTAGGGCGGGGCCACAATGGGGAATCCAAGTTTTACTTAGAAATATACAGGAAAAATCTTTAAAAATCTTCTTCTCAAGAACCACTTGGCCAGAAAAGCTGAAACGCATGTGGAAGCATTCTGGGGTAGGGTAGATTCTAAATATTCAAATCATGGCCCCTGGGGGGTAGGGTGGGGCTATAATAGGGAATCCAAGTTTGACATAGAGATATATTGGAAAATCTTTAAACCTTCTCAAGAACTACTTGGCCAGAAAAGCTGAAACTTATATGGAAGCATCCTGGGGTGGTGTAAATTCTAAATTGTTCAAATCGTGACCTCAAGGGGTAGGATTCGGCCACAGTGAATATTACAAGGGGGAAATCTGGTAAAGAACTGCATGGCCAAAGTTATTCAGGTGAACGATGTGGCCCATGGACCTCTTGTTGTTTACGTTCATTAGTAAGATTTCAGTATTTCTCTTATATGTTGAATTTATATTTGTAGTGGCGGTCTGAGAAAATATTGCATTGGAAATCTCATTCATTCGATGTATACCTTTTTGAAAATTCAGTATATCAACTTCAAAAATATTTTTTGATAAGTGCTAAATGCATGGGCTTCTGTACTCTAGAGCCGCGGGTTAAAAGTTTATTCTTACGTTGCAGGATCGAATCCCACTGCGGGATGTGAAGTCCAGTCCTTCGGATGAGACTGCATTAATTGTGGTCCCTGTACCCTACATCTCTCATGTTCCTAATTGATATATAAAAGAAAACAGCCATGATATTTGTTGCTTTTGTGCTACCGGCATTTGAACAACTTTTGTTCTACTTGTTGATCAATAGATTATTGTATGGATTCTTCTTGCTCAAAAGGGAGATCAAAATATAATTATTACTTACTGATGAATAAGCACACAATCTAGCTCTGCACTTTTTAACTTTATAATTTCATTTTCAGATCGGTCCATGACAGTTGAATCAACCCACGACTCGTCTTCAGGCTTTGCCTCAGATGTTCCTAGCCATACTTGTTCAGGAATAAATATGTCCAATTTCAAAGAAAATATTCGAACGGATACCGGTGACTCGCCTTTTGAAATGGATTCACAAATATTAAATGCACATATTTCTCCTTGTGAGACAAAAGCCCAGAAATCCAACCGGAAATGTCCAATTTCTCCAAAACAGCCAAATCACTACAATGCCCATGACTTGAAAATGCACTATCGGATGTCCACTCCATCTCCTCTCTCCTACCAGTCATCGGGATCTTTTGGAACCCCCCCTTCATTTCCACAAAAAGTCCACAAATCTCGTTCCTCGAGTTCAAATACAACCGAAAAATCTTTACATTATTTTCAAATGCCATCACACCCACAAACCCCGGTTGTCGGCTACAAAAACCCTGCATACGAATATCAATTAGACAAACACATGGAACAAATACAATATAACATTAAGCGTATAGAGCTTCAAGAAGAAGGTTACATTACCAAAGGTAGCAAATATCAACACCACACACCGTCATTGTTTGATTTGATCACTGATGACATCATTGTTCAAATTTTTTCTTACCTATCCTCAGATCAACTATGCAGAGCATCACGTGTTTGTCAACGATGGTACAGAGTAGGTTGGGATCCGTTATTATGGAAACAGATTGTCCTAAATAGTGAACTTATCAATGTAGACAAAGCCATTAAGTATTTAACAAAAAGACTAAGTTACAATACTCCGACTGTGTGTGTCATTGTTGAGAAAATCAACCTTAACAAATGTGAAAAACTCACAGACAAAGGGCTACATACCATTGCGAAACGATGTCCTGAGCTTCGGCAACTAAAGATGCAAGGATGCTCAAATGTGACTAATCACTCTCTGTTTGAAGTCGTATCATACTGTGTAAATCTCGAATATCTTGATGTAACAGGTTAGTGTTTATAAAACATTAGTGAATATTCAAATTGAAACATGCAGTTGAAAGAAAATGTTTATATAAGACTATTTTTTTATACCCCCCGCTTGAAAAGTGGGAGGGTATATAGTAATCTGTACGTCCGTCTGTCTGTACATCTGTCCGTCCGTCCGTCTGTTACGCTTTGGGGTAACCATCTCTTATCCGCAACTCCTCCTATACCACTGAATAAAATTTGATGAAACTTTCACAGAATCTTTATTACATATTGCCATTGTGCACCTCCTATTTTATTAGGTCACCTGAGTAAACTCAGGTGACCTATTGCTATCTGTTTTCGTCCTTCGTCGTGCGTTGTGTGTCGTGAGTTAACATTTGAACATTTTCAGCTTCTTCTCTGCAACCACGTAACCAATTTCAACCAAATTTGGCCTAAAGCATCTATGGGTGAAGGGGAACAAAAATTGTGAATTTCATGATCCCTGCCTCCCTGGGGCCTGAGGGGTGTGGCCAAAACCACTAAATTTAATGCAATCTTTAAAAATCTTCTTCTTTACTCCTGGACATCAAGCAGTCAAACTGTTTGCATGATTGTAATCAGCAATGAGTCCTCTACCAAAATTGTGAAATTCATGGCCCTGGGGTCAGGGGTTCTAGTGCTAGGGTGGGGCTAAATAAGTAGGTAGTGAAAATGCATTATTTCTTTGAAAATCTTCTTCTCTGCTCCTGGGTATTAAATAAACCAACTAAGCATATGGTTATGATGAGCAAGAGTGCCACTACCAAAATTGTGAATTTTATGGCCCCAGGGTCAGGGGTTCTGGTGTTAGGGCAGGGCTCTATTGATTATATAGTGAAAATACATGAATTCTCTGAAAATCTTCTTCTCTGCTCCTGGGTATTAAATAAACTAACTAAGTGCATAGTTATGATGAGCAAGAGTGCCTCTACCAAAATTGTGAATTTTATGGCCCCAGGGTCAGGGGTTCTAGTGTTAGGGCGGGGCTCTATTGATTATATAGTGAAAATACATGAATTCTTTGAAAATCTTCTTCTCCGCTCCTGGGTATTAAATAAACCAACTAAGTACATAGTTATGATGAGCAATAGTGCCCCTACCAAAATTGTGAATTTTATGGCCCCAGGGTCAGGGGTTCTAGTGTTAGGGCGGGGCTCTATAGATTATATAGTGAAAATACATGAATTCTCTGAAAATCTTCTTCTCTGCTCCAGGGTATTAAATAAACTAACTAAGTGCATAGTTATAATGAGCAAGAATGCCTCTACCAAAATTGTGAATTTGTTTGGCCCCAGGGTCAGGGGTTCTGGTGTTAGGGCGGGGCTCTATTGATTATATAGTGAAAATACATGAATTCTTTGAAAATCTTCTTCTCTGCTCCTGGGTATTAAATAAACTAACTAAGTGCATAGTTATGATGAGCAAGAGTGCCTCTACCAAAATTGTGAATTTTATGGCCCCAGGGTCAGGGGTTCTGGTGTTAGGGTGGGACGTATTGATTATATAGTGAAAATACATGAATTCTTTGAAAATCTTCTTCCCTGTTCCTAGGAATTAAATAAACTAACTAAGTACATAGTTATAATGAGCAAGAATGCCTCTTCCAAAATTGTGAATTTTATAGCCCCAGGGTCAGGGGTTCTAGTGTTAGGGCAGGGCTCTATTGATTATATAGTGAAAATACATTAAATCTTTGAGGGTATTAAGCAGATGAACTACCTATAGATTTATGCTGGACAAGGGCCCATATCTTCCAGAATTGTGAATTTCAAGGCCCCAGGGTCAGGGGTACCATAGAAGGGGGGGCTGTACCTATATACTGAAAACAAATGAATGGTTTGAAATCTGCTCCTTGGTATTAATCAGATATCAAGGCCTAAGGGTCAGGGGTTCATGTGTGGTAGGGGCACTACTGATTATTGCTGAATATTACTGATTAGTTGAAATGCATTTTTTGTTCCCTTACCCTGCATATGGGTATTAAGTAAACAAACTAAGCAACTGCTAAGTGTATTGTTATGATGATCAATGGTGCCTCTTTCAAAATTGTGAATGCCATAGCATCTGGCTTAAAACATGAATCAAATTCAATCACTGGAAAGTTGTTGCATAATGCTCAGGTGACCTATAAGGCCCATGGGCCGCTTGTTTTTCAATTCGACGCATATTTTGGGTTTCTGACAACAAAAGATGGACACTCCTATTATTATTCATATGGGAGGCGGGGGTATCATTTAGTGAGCTCATTGCTCACAGTACCTCTAGTTAGCTTACCTGAGCTGAAAGCTCAAGTGAGCTTTTCTGATCACATTTTGTCCGGCGTCCGTCTGTCTGTCCGTCTGTGTGTCCGTCTGTCTGTAAACTTTTCACATTTTCGACTTCTTCTCAAGAACCGCTGGGCCAATTTCAACCAAACTTGCCACAAAGTATCCTTGGGTGAAGGGGATTCAAGTTTGTTCAAATGAAGGGTCACGCCTTAATTCAAGGGGAGATAATTGGGAATTAATGAAAATTTGGTGGCATATTTTAAAATTCTTCTTCTCAAGAACCACTGTGCCAGGAAAGATGAAACTTATGGGGAAACATCCTCAGGTAATGTAGATTCAAGTTTGTTCAAATCATTACCCCCGGGGGTAGGGCGGGGCCAAAATGGCCGATCTAAGTTTTACATAGAAATATATAGGAAAATTCTTTAAAAATCTTCTTCTCAAGAATGACAAAGCCATAATTCATCATATTTATATGGAAGCATGCTCAGGTAGTGTAGATTCAAGTTTGTTCAAATCATGACCCCCAGGGGTAGGGCGGGGCCAAAATGGCCGACCAAAGTTTTACATAGAAATATATAGGAAAATTCTTTAAAAATCTTCTTCTCAAGAATGACAAAGCCATAATTCATCATATTTATATGGAAGCATGCTCAGGTAGTTTAGATTCAAGTTTGTATATAGGAAAATTCTTTAAAAATCTTCTTCTCAAGAATGACAAAGTCATAATTCATCATATTTATATGGAAGCATGCTCAGGTAGTGTAGATTCAAGTTTGTTCAAATCATGACCCCCGGGCCAAAATGGCCGACCAAAGTTTTACATAGAAATATATAGGAAAATTCTTTAAAAATCTTCTTCTCAAGAATGACAAAGCCATAATTCATCATATTTATATGGAAGCATGCTCAGGTAGTGTAGATTCAAGTTTGTTCAAATCATGACCCCCCGGGGGTAGGGCGGGGCCAAAATGGCCGACCAAAGTTTTACATAGAAATATATAGGAAAATTCTTTAAAAATCTTCTTCTCAAGAATGACAAAGCCATAATTCATCATATTTATATGGGAGCATGCTCAGGTAGTGTAGATTCAAGTTTGTTCAAATCATGACCCCCCGGGGTAGGGCGGGGCCAAAATGGCCGACCAAAGTTTTACATAGAAATACATAGGAAAATTCTTTAAAAATCTTCTTCTCAAGAATGACAAAGCCATAATTCATCAAATTTATATGGAAGCATGCTCAGGTAGTGTAGATTCAAATTTGTTCAAATCATGACCCCCAGGGGTAGGGCGGGGCCAAAATGGCCGACCAAAGTTTTACATAGAAATATATAGGAAAATTCTTTAAACATCTTCTTCTCAAGAATGACAAAGCCATAATTCATCATATTTATATGGAAGCATGCTCAGGTAGTGTAGATTCAAATTTGTTCAAATCATGACCCCCAGGGATAGGGCGGGGCCAAAATGGCCGACCAAAGTTTTTAAAGATATATATAGGAAAATTCTTTTAAAATCATTTTCTAAAAAATAGCAAATCCATGATTGGTCATGGGACTACTTTTGGATTTAAACTTTACAATAAAAAGCCATTTTCTACTTTTTCCTACCCTTAGTGCTCAGCAATGTGGCCCATGGGCCTCTTGTTTTATTTTATTATTATTATGTTACTGGAGTCACTCACTTGAACTATTTGCAGATCTTTTGAAATTGCTTTTCTTGTTCGAGGCCATTGAAGCCTTTCAGGCTTTTGATTGTTACATTTTGCATTGACGCAAAATGTAATAATCCCAGTTTTCTACACTTTGCCTTGTTATTACATTTCATGTTGTAACAGTGGTGAGTATTGTCATTGCAAAATTTGATCAAGAACTATTGATTGATGTACATAATTTAATTAATAAAGTTTTTGTTGACAAACAGACAAGCGTACCTCTGACGGACAGGGCAAAATCTCCAAATTTTCGAGTACGGGGACATAAAAAATTCTATTACCCTTGTAAAACACTTTAAGAGATTTTTACACATTTTTAGCTCTTCTGAGCCAAAGGCTCAAAGAGCTAATACTATGGCCATTTGTGCGGTGTGCAGTGTGCGTAAACTTTTTAGAATATGGGCCATAACTCAAGAACCCCTTGGCCAATCAGTACCAAAATTGTCACAGGGTATCCTTGGCCCAAGGGCTACCATTTATACTAAAATAAGGGTTGGGACCCTTAAACAAGGGGAGATAATCAGGAAAACAAAACCAAAAGTACTGGATGCTAAAAAATCTTCTTCTCCATAACCACTAGGCAGATTTTCACCAAACTTACATACAATGATCAGGATATGTCGAAGATTAAAATTTGCATGGGGAATTACCCTGGGGCAAAGGGCGTGGTCTCAAGGTCACTTCAAAGTTGACCTAAATTTACAATTAATAAAAACGTGTATATTTTTCTTACTATAAGGACTAGGATCATCAAATCCTGTAAGTTGATGCATCTTACTTTGACATTTTATGGCTTTATTTAAGTATCTCCGGTACTTATAGGCTTAGAATCATCAAACTTTGTGAGTTGATGCATCTTGGGTTTTCGGAGAGTGACGACCAAAAAGTAGATCATGGTGACCTACTTTTGACATTTTGTGGCTATAATTAAGTATCTCTGGTACTTATTGACCAAATATCATCAAACTTTTTTCAGTTGATTGATGTATCTTGGGTTTTCGGAGATTGTCGACCAAAAAGTAGGTCACAGTGACCTACTTTTGACATTTTATGGCTATATTTAAGTATCCCAGGCACTTATCGGCTAAGAATCATCAAACTTTGTCAGTTGAGACATCTTGGGTTTTCGGAGAATGTCGAATAAAAAGTAGGTCACGGTGACCTACTTTTGAATATCTCAGGTATATAGTAGCTTAGAATCATCAAACTTTGTCAGTTTAGGCACCTTGGGTTTTCGGAGAACGTCGACCAAAAAGTAGGTCACCGTGACCTACTTTTGACATTTGATGGCTATATTTAATTATCTCTGGTACTAATTGGCTTAGAATCGTCAAACTTTGTCAGTTGAGGCATCTTGGGTTTTCAGAGAATGTTGACCAAAAAGTAGGTCATGGTGACCTACTTTTAAATATCTCGGGTACTTATTTAATTAGAATCATCAGTCTTTGTCAATTAATGTATCTTGAGTCCTCAGAAAATTTCAATCAAAAGGTAGGTCACTGTGACCTACTTATGGTATTTTATAATTGTATTATAATATCTTCAGTCTTAACTAGCTAAATATTATCAAACTTTGTAAGTTGATGCATTTTGGGTCTTATGATACTAATAGAGTTGGAGGCTTCTAATAGAAGTGATAGATTGTACAATTTATCAGAAGAGCGATTCAAGGCCCTTGGGCCTCTTGTCTCTATATAAATAAAATACTATAAAATCAATGTGCTTTAGATATTACTTATAAAGCATAGTTATCTATAGAAAATAAAATGAATACATGAAGGGTTAGAATGTGTACTTTGGAAAAGGTTTGGCTAATTTTAATACCAAATTACACTAGTTCCAACAATTACATTTTTGTTTTTCATCTAAAACTTGCACAAGTTTTGAATAAGATGTGTTTGTGAAACAGTGATACCCCTGTATAGCGACATAGCGAAGATTAAACTTCTTATATGCAAATTAAATATGTTGGTACCCAAAGTAAGGACTTCTCACAAGAAATACAATTTTGAAATCTAATGAAAGCCTTAGCTAGCACCACCTGTTCAAAAGTTAATGCCAAGGATAAGTTTTTAGGTCACCTGAGTAAACTACCAACTAAGCTACCAAAATTGTGAAATTCATGGCCCCAGGATCAGGGGTTCCAGGGCTAGGGTAGGGCTATATAGATTGCATAGTGAAAATGAACTATTTCTTTGAAAATCTTCTTCTTTGCTCCTGGACACCAAGCAGTCAAACTGTTGGTATAAATGTAATAAGCATTGAGTCTACCAAAATTGTGAAATTCATGGCCCCAGGATCAGGGGTTCTAGGGCTAGGGTGGGGCTGTATAGATTGTATAGTGAAAATGAACTATTTCTTTGAAAATCTTCTTCTTTACTCCTGGATATCAAGCAGTCAAATTGTTGGTATAAATGTAATAAGCATTGAGTCCTCTACCAAAATTGTGAAATTCATGACCCCAGGATCAGGGTTTCTAGGGCTAGGGTGGGGCTATATAGATTATATAGTGAAAATGAACTATTTCTTTGGAAATCTTCTTCTTTGCTCCTGGGTATTAAATAAACTAACTACGTACGTAGTTATAATGAGCAAGAGTGCCTCTTTCAAACTGTGAATTTTATGGCCCCAGGGTTAGGGGTTCTGGTGTTAGGGCGGGGCTCTATTGATTATATAGTGAAAATGCATTAATTCTTTGAAAATCTTCTTCTCTGCTCCTGGTTATTAAATAAAGTAAGTACATAGTTATGATGAGCAAGAGTGTTTTTTCCACAGTTTTAAATTTTATGGCCCCAGGGTCAGGGGTTCTGGTGTTAGACTGGGGTTCTATTGTTTATATCAGTGAAAATAAATTGAATCTTTAAACATTTTCAGCTACTTCTCTGAAACCGCTGAACCGATTTCAAACAATTTTGGCATATAGCATCTATGGGTGAAGGGGAACAAAAATTGTGAATTTTGTAGTCCCTGCCCCCTTCGGGCCTGCTGGTGGGGCTAAAACCATTAAAATCAATGAAATCTTTTAAAAATCTTCTTCTTTACTCCTGCATATCAAGCAGTCAAACTGTTGACATGATTGTAATCAGCATTGAGTCCTCTACCAGAATTGTGAAATTCATGGCCCCTGCATCAGGGGTCCTGGTGTTAGGGTGGGGCTATATAGACCATAGAGTAAAAGTGCATTATTTCTTTGAAAATCTTCTCTGTTCTTGGGCATTAAACAAATGAACCAAGTACATAGTTATGATTAACAAGAGTGCCTCTACGAAAATTTTGAATTTTAAGCCCCCTGGGTCAGGGATTCTGGTGTTAGGGCGAGGCTCTATTGATTATATAGTGAAAATACATTAATTCTTTGAAAATTTTCTCCTCTGCTCCTGGGTAATAAACAAACTAACTAAGTAAATAGTTATAATGAACAAGAGTGCATCTTCCAATATTGTGAATTTTATGGCCCCAGGGTCAGGGGTTCTGATGTTAGGGTGGGGCTCTATTGATTATTAAGTGAAAATGCATTAATTCTTCAAAAATCTTCTCCTCTGCTCCTAGGTATTAAATAAACTAACTTATTATATAGGTGTCATGAGCAAGAGTGCCTCAATCAAATTTGTGAATTTCATGGCCCCTGAGTTAGGGGTTTTGGTGTAACGGGGGGAGGGGGGGGGGCTCATTTGATTATATAGTGAAAATACATTACTTCTTTAAAAATCTTCTTCTGTGACCCTGGATATTAAACAAAGAAACTAAGTATATAGTCATGATGAGCAAGAGGGCTTCTTCCAAAATTATGAATTTAATGGCCCTGGGTTGGGGGTTTTGGTGTTAGGATGGGGCTCTAATGATTATATAGTGATAATGCATGAATTCTTTGAAAGTCTTTTCCTTTGCTCCTGGGTACTATGCCTAAGTATATATATTTAGGATAAAGAAAGGTGTGTCTAACAAAATGGTGAATTTCATATCCACTAGGTCAGGGGTATTGGGGGTGGTTACATAGTCTGAAAATAAATTAATGCATTGAAATGGGCTCTTTGATATTAATCAAGCATTTATAATGAAATAAAATTTATGATAAAATTTCCAAAATTTTGAAATATGTGGCCCCAGGGTCGGTGGTTCCTGTGGGTGGGTTGCACAACTGGTTATAAAGTGGAAATGCATTTTCTCTTTGTTATTGTGATCAGTATTAGTAAGGATGCTAAGTGTAAAATTATGATAAGCAATCCCTTATGGTGCCTTCTTCAAAATTGTGAATTTCATGGCCTCTGATTTAAAACATGAACCAAATTCAATTGTTGGAAAGTTGTTACATGATACTCAGGTGACCTATAATGCCTGTGGACCTCTTGTTTAGCTCACCTTAGCTGAAAGGTAGGTGAGCTTTTCTGATTACATTTTGTCTGTAGTCCGTCTGTAAACTTTTCACATTTTCGACTTCTTCTCAAGAACCACTGGGCAAATTTTAACCAAACTTGTCACAAAGCATTCTTGAGTGAAGGAAAAATTAGATTATTAAAATAAAGGGTGAAGTCCCTTTCCAAGGGGAGATAATCAAGAAAATACAAAATAGAGTGGAGTCATTAAAAAATCTTCTCAAGAATCACTGGGCCAGAAAAGCTGAAACTTACCCCTGGGGGTAGGGCAGGGCTACAATAGGGATTCCAAATTTTACATTGAAGTATATGAGGAAGAAACTTAAAAAATCTTCTTCTCAAGAACAAGTGGACTAAAAAAAAACTGAAACCTATGTGGAAGCATCTTGGGGTAGTGTAGATTCTAAAATTGTTTGAATCATGACTTTTTAGGATTGTCAAGGTCAAAGGAGGAAATCTGTTAAATGAAAAAATGGCTAAAAATATTGAGGTGAGCGATGTGGCCCATTGGCCTCTTGTAATAAATCTTGCTTCATTGGAGCATGAAAACATGCGCTGCTAATACAGCAGCATAATTATTTCCAACCACTGGGCCAGAAAAGCTGAAAGTTATGTGAAAGCATCCTTGAATACTGTAGATTCTAAATTGTTCAAATCCTGACCCCTGGGGTAGGGAGGGGGCACAATAGGGAATCCAAGTTTTACATAGAAATGTATAGGAAAAATTTATAACAATCTTCTTCTTGGGTACTTGGGTACAATCTTCTTCTTAAGAACCACTGGGCCAGAAAAACTGAAACTTATGTGGAAGCTCCTTTGGGTACTATAGATTCTAAATTGTTCAAATCATGACCCTCAGGGTAGGGCAGGGCTACAATAGGGAATCCAAGTTTTACATTGAAGTATATTGGAATTTTGTCTTTCATTCTTCTTCTCAAGGACAAGTGGACCAAAAAAGCTGAAACTTATGTGGAATCATCCTGGGGTAGTGTAGATTCTAAATTGTTTGAATCATTACCCTTTAGGATTGTCAAGGTCAAGATAGGTATTACAAAGGGGAAAACCTGTTAAATGACAGAATGGCCAAAGTTACTCAGGTAAGCGATGTTCCCATTGGCCTCTTCTAGTAAATTTTGCTTCATCGGAGCATGAAAACGTGCACTGATAATATAGGAGCTTAATAAATTCCAAGGTGGAATTTTAACAATTTATTGGAAAACTTGGTCTCCAAACACGATGTAGGTATTGTCAATGAGAAATGTAAGCATCTTTTAACATCTTGAGAAGATTTCTGCGTATAATCAGAATGATTTTTTACTCAAGTAATTTTGCAGATGACCAGTCATGAAATACGAAAAATTTGCTTTGAAAAAGTTCCTTTTTAGGCACCTGAGTTACTCATTTTACGCCTTACAAAGTTGAAAATTTTGATGAAAATACAATTTTGCAAGAACATGAAACATCTATATATTTAACAAGAAGACTGTCAATGTAAATCACAAACTTTTAAAATTTTTATTTAAGGATGTCCATGTATAACTTGTATAAGCCTGACGCCACAGATCATGGAACAAGCTACTGCCCACCATCTGCGCCAGATCTATCTTCGGACACTGGATATGACAGACTGTTATGCTCTAGAGGATGACGGACTTAGAGTGATTGCAAAGCACTGCATTCAGCTTCAGTTCCTCTATCTCAGGAGGTGTGTTAGAATAGGTGATAATGGTCTCCAATATATTGCTTACTATTGTTCAGAACTCAAGGAATTGAGTATTAGTGATTGTAAAAAAGTGACTGATTTCGGTGTCTGTGAACTTGCAAAAATTGGGACCAATTTACGATATCTAAGTGTTGCTAAATGTGATAAGATATCTGATGTTGGAATTATACAGTTGTGTAAACGATGTACAAAACTTCGCTACCTGAATTTAAGAGGTTGTGAGGCTGTATCGGACGACTCTTTGGATGTACTTGCCAGAAATTGCTCAAAAATAAAATCCCTTGATATTGGAAAGTGTGACGTCACAGATGAAGGACTAAATGTTCTGGCCCAGAATTGTCCACAGTTAAAGAAGCTCAGTCTCAAATCATGTGAAGCCATAACTGACAATGGTGTCAAGTTCCTGGCAAAATCTTGTAGGCTGTTACAACAGTTTAATATTCAAGACTGTCATTTGACTGTAGACGCTTATAGAACAATTAAAAAATATTGTAAAAGCTGCTTTATCGAACACACAAACCTTGGATTTTTCTAGTGTTGCCATTAAAACTTATCAAAGTACTCTATAACAGAGTCATTTTGATGATATAATACAGCTAGTATAAAACTATTTTTAATTCATTTTAGAGATCTCCACATTTGAAAATTTAACCATGGAGGAAGCTGCGCGAAGGCCAAATGTCGCGGAAAACACGAATGCATGTTAGACTTCCTAATCTTCATTAATCAATGTTTGGTTTTACAATTTTTAGCTCACCTGAGCCGAAGGCTCAAGTGAGCTTTTCTGATCACATTTTGTCCGTTGTCCGTCCGTCTGTCCGTCCGTCTGTAAACTTTTTACATTTTTGACTTCTCCTCAAGAACCAATGGGCCAATTTTAACCAAACTTGGTACAAAGCATCCTTGGGTAAAGGGGAGTTTAAATTGTTAAAATGAAGGGTCAAGTCCCTTTACAAGGGGAGATAATGAAGAAAAGACAAAAATAGGGTGGGGTCATTAAAAAAACTACTTCTCAAGAACCACTGGGCCAGGAAAGCTGAAACTTATGTGGAAGCATCGTTGGGTAGTGTAAATATTAAATTGTTAAAATCATAACCCCCAGGAGTAGGGCGGGGCCACAATAGGGAATCCAAGTTTTACATAGAAAAATATAGTACAAATCTTTAAAAATCTTCTTCTCAAGAACCACTGGGCCAGGAAAACTGAAACTTATGTGGAAACATCCTTGGGTAGTGTAGATATTAAATTGTTAAAATCATGACCCCCGGGGGTTGGGCGGGGCCACAATAGGGAATCCAAGTTTTACATAGAAATATATAGAACAAATCTTTAAAAATCTTCTTCTCAAGAACCACAGGGCCAGGAAAGCTGAAACTTATATGGAAGCATCCTTGGGTAGTGTAGATATTAAATTGTTAAAATCATAACCCCCGGGGGTAAGGCGGGGCCACAATAGGGAATCCAAGTTTTACATAGAAATATATGGAACAAATCGTTTAGGATCTTCTTCTCAAGAACCACTGGGCCAGGAAAGCTGAAACTTATGTAGAAGCATCCTGTGGTATAGTGTAGATTCTAAAGTATTAAAATCTTGAAAGGGAAGAGGGCACGATAGATATACTAGCAAGACGGGAAATCTGGTCAAGAACTGCATTACCCAATTTACTCAGGTGAGCGATGTGGCCCATGGGCCTCTTGTTTAACTATATATCCATGCAAAACAAAACAATGGAATAACTAACACTTTTTAAAGTTAAAAAAATAATAATTTCATTGAAAAGGATTTATCCTGTGTCTTACTTCACACATGTACCAAAATTTGCCCAAAACTGTAGTAACCTTCTGAAGGAATTCAAAGAAAAATTGTTGATACAGTAAGTCAGTAACCATGGCAGTATTTTTCAGAAATTAATAATTATAAGAATTGTAGCCTGTTGTGTGAAATGTTTTCTTTCAATATGACTAAAACTGAGTATTTTTTAGTTCACACAAACACACAAAGGAACATTTGGACCTGTCACCAGTGTCCCTTTTTTCCCCTTTTTTCTAAACGTTTTATTTTTCTAGATATTGCATTTTTCATTAAAACTAAGACGGCGAATGAGACGTAGGCCCTATACACAATTAATCTAAAAGATAATAAAGTTAAAGCTTAAAAAAAACAGAGTATGGGAAATTGATTAAATACAGAGGAATATGAAATTTTTACAGAGTATTTTTTTCTGGCACAGAAACTTGAATCGCATGCATTACGATTATCATGCTCGTAATTGTCAACCTTTATAAAATTATCTAATCATGCAGTGAACATGTTGAAGTTCCCCAAAATTATTTACATGTGTACAAGATAATAAACTCTCAAAATATTGGTCATCTGATCAGCTGATTGACTCTCCATTGATTGTCACGCTTCACGCTTAACGACATGTTTGTTTAGCACAGTCTGCTTTCCTTCGAGGCATGCGAGGTGCATGGCAGTCGTAGTATAAACACAATTAACTACTCAAGTCATTCAGAAATTTTCATACATGCCAACGTTCCCGATTTAGGCGGGATCCTCCCGATTTTACCCTTTCATCCCGCCTTCCCGATCGGGAAAGAAAAATTAGACTCATTTCCCGATTTGAAAAAAAAATCACCAAAATTTCCGATTTTAAAAGTTTCCCTACCGCTGAATTTTGACAATCGGGATAACAATGTCAGACTTGTTTATACAATGCACACAGATAAGTTTCATTGTTTATTTAACCAGATGTTAATTAGGCCTAGCCACAGGAAATCACTTCACGCTTGAACGCACGAGGTTGTCCACTGGTGCAAGCAGCTTATAGCTTGGGGCAATTAGGGGATTATCTTGTTAGTTTTAAAGGGTATGCAAGGTTAACAAGATAATTGTTTGTCATTTTATTATAAATATAAATTAAAGACAATAAAATGCAAATCAAACAATAAAAACAGAGTCCAAAGAGATCGTTTTTTGAAAACGAAAGTAGAAATCTAATAAAGCATAGCTGCTGATTTTATCTACCTATAATGAAAAATATTGTAAAGTTAGCCAGTTAAAATATTATTAAAAAATTAAGATGAAACAATCAAGTGTATGTCCCAAAAGTAATATGTTAGGTAACTATGTGCATGACTTAAGGAAATACCCACATGGCACCATCAAGCCTGACAAATTTCATGACTGTAACAAAATTATTCTTTTTTAATTTGGATAGGTGGTATAAATTTCTGTAAATTTAATATCTCATTAGAATTTCTTATTAATTGAAATATAAATAAAAAAATGTTTCTAGAAACAAGACTTTACAGTATCAATACCTCATTTATTTTTAGCCTTTGAAAAAAATGATTTTAAATTTGTACAATTTTCAATTTTTCACTAAATTCTGTCCTGGTAGAAAAAAAAGTTGTTTATATATGTAACTAAATACCCCTTCTTTAGTGAGAGAGGCACCTATTTTAGCAAAAATATTTCAATTTTGGAAAGAAAAACATTTTTTGTGTTAAATTAACCCTTGAGTTTTATTGATAAGTGATATCAATATTATAAATTTAAAAAAATCATTTCATAATTATTTAATTTCACGACAAAATGTCGCGAATTTAAAGCTTTGAAAATTGTCGTCACGCGCTAAATCCCCCATGGGAATTTTCAAAAGTTGGCATGTATGAATTTTCTGAATATGAATCGAATCCGAAAATAAATGTGAACGAAAAATTAATTGAAGGGATCCCTATTTAAAGTTAAAAAGATAATGTTACATTGAAAATATGATTTTTTTTTAGGTTACTTGAGTCATTCAGGTGACCTATTGCTATATGTTTTCGTCGTTCGTCATTTTTCAACTTCTTTTCAAGAACCACTGGACCAATTTCAACCAAACTTGCCACAAAGTATCCTTGGGTAATGGTGATTCAAGTTTGTTGAAATGAATGGCCAAGCCTTACTCCAAGGGGAGATTATTAAGAATTAGTGAAAAATGAATGGCATCTTTTAATCTTCTCAAGAACCACTCACTGTAAAAAAATAACTAGTTAATGTCATGAAGAAAACTAGTAGATTCACTGTCCATACAATCACTACCTTAATAGTAGTTTTACCAGATATTGGTATATTTACTAGATAAGGTTAGCAAATTTAGAATTGATGAGTAACTTTCACTAGGTATCTAAGTATCTATACGACCCCCGCTCCACAACTCACTATCTTAACCATTAAACTGAAAGTTTACTAATCACGACCAACGCTTTACGAAACACACTAGTTAATTTCACTAGGTTTTTCTTTCAGTGCTGGCCCAAGAAAGATGAAACTAATGTGCAAACATCTTCAGATAATGGAGATTCAGATTTGTTCAAATTGTTTGAACCCCCACCCCCATCCCCTGGATAGGATGGGGCCCATATTGGACGGTCAAAGTTTTACATGGGAATTCAAAGGAAAAATCTTTTTTAAAATATACTCCAGAACCATTAGGCCAATTCAGGTAAAACTTATGTCAAAACATTGTCTGGTAGTGTAGATTCAATTTAGTTCAAATCATGACCCCATGAAAAAGGGTGGGGCTACAATGGACGATCAAAGTTTTACATAGGAATACATAGGAATTTTTTTTTTAAACAATCTCTACTGCGCAGAGAAAGATAAAACTTATGTGCAGACATCTTCAGGTAGTGTAGAGTCAAATTTGTTCACATCATGACCTTGGGGAGGGGGGGGGGGAGAGAAAATCTTAAAGAATCTTCTGAATAATAGCAAAACTATGATTCCTCTTATTTCTTGGAAACATCTTTGGGTACTAAATAAATGTTATTTCAAATTTGTTCAAAGAACTACGAACTCTAACTCTTGATTCCCGCCTACATTTTGCACCCATTAAATTCAATATTAATCACAATTTGGCCATTAAATCTTTGTTTAATACAAAGAACAGTTCTCTGGTAATTGATTAATCATTTTTTAATTCCAGCGCTAGAGATTAAATTGTCATTAATTCCAGCTCTTTGAAAAAAACGGGGGTAGACAATATTTTCTAGTGAAATCGAACTTTCAAGAATCACATATTTTGAAATAGTCTTAAATTTAAGCATTTATCAATCTTTTGGGGTTGTTTAATATGTAACTGAGGTATTTGGGCGAATTGAGCGAAGAATTTCCTGCAAGTGTCACCGTTTTCAACATCCCTCAGGCTATTTTCCATTTGCCCGGGGCATTTTTATCCAAACTTTTATACTGCAGGAAATACAAAAAAATGAGGGTACAAATAATATATTGGTCCTTTCTATATCATGTCCCAGCGACCAAAATTTTGCTCCAATTTTTCAAAATGACGGTATTGCTCAAAAAAAAAAAATGACAATTCCTAAAAATAACAGTATTGAAATATTTTTCTAATAGGAGCATGTATCAGTCTTTTGGGGTTGTTTAATATGTAACTGAGTTATCTGGGTCAGGAAATGAGCAAAGAATTTCCTGCAAGTGTCACCGTTTTCAAGATTCCTCAAGCCATTTTCCACTTGCCAAAGGCATTTTTAGCCGAATTTTTTTGACTGCAAGAAATAA